ACATTCCCCCCCCTGTCTGCCTGCTAGAATGTTGAGTCAGGCCTGTGTTAGTTACTGATGGTCAGCATGCTTGAGCCAAGGGTTGATTGGAAGCTTTGAACAAGCTCAGCATTTAAACTGTTTCACTTGAATCTGTATGGAGTGGTGTCCTTCATTATTTAGGGAGTTCCGCCCCCCCATTAGAATCATCCCCAAGAAGCTCCTCCTTACAATATATAACCCCCTAACACTCCTTACATAACCTCCTCAACACTCCTTAAAATATATAACCCAGATTTGCTGAGAGCAATTTATGCTAAATTCCCATTGGCTAGCTTTCTTTTTTAACAACATAACAACCCCAGAGCTCCAAGATAATTCAAAGGCATGTTTAAGTTGGAGAACTGTTTATCAAGAGGATATGTGAAGAAAAGAGCACTGCTACAGTGAATGATCTATGAGATCCTTCCTCTCTCCTGTGATTATTTTTCCTTCTTTATATTGAATATGTTTTCCAGCTCCATTGTGGGAGAGAGATTTTATTTGTTTTTTGTTAGCTAGAGAGGAACCTTCACGAAAAACAGTTTTTCTGTCTTCTTAGCCAACAGACTGGCTAATAGACAGCCTTGCAAGGGAAAAGGCAGATCTCTGAATCTCATCCACCTTCCTAAAAAAAAGCTGAGAAATTACAGATGTGGTGCAAAAGTATTGTCACCTGTAGTAGGATGTAAAATGTAAAAATCAAGCATCTGTTAAAGGCATGGTTGCATGCTAGGCCATTATGAAGGATCTTGTCACTTCTTGTGCAAGAAATGCTTTTAAATGCTTGAGCCCATTTGTTGTAAAGACAAGTTTGAATGAATGAGAAGTTATCAAGGTTACAATGATGACCCAGGGCTTCTTTTTCTTTTTCTTTTTTGAAAAAGAGGTGCTAGAACTCTAAAGAAGGAAATAAAGTTTCAATGTGTATACTGAAAACTCATGAACTTTGTTCTGGAACTCCATTCTAGCGCGTTCCCCCAGAAAAAAAGCCCTGACGTCGTGACCCATACTTTAAAAGTTTGATTAGCTGTACTGCCAAAGTGCAGGATGTTTTCAAAAGAATGACAAACTAATCACCTGTCCTCAAAGTGCTCCACAATTGATGCAAATCCAGTTGATCACAGTCCAAAAGAATAGCCAAAATTGAAGAGCTGGCGTACATTTTAGGAAATGTTCATACGTACTGAAAGAAAGACACATTCCTAAATTTCTTGCACCATAGTAATTCATTGCCTTTAATTAATGTGAGTGCTTCATAGTGCTTTTGCAACTGCAACATGTGTTTGTTTTCACACGATGAAGGGCTATTTAGAGTGGGAGAACAGTTTATCCCTTCAAGCAACTGTTTCCGCATCAGCTTGTCTGCCAAGGAGCCCCTGTGCATTGATTCCAGGACACACAAACATGCATCCTAAGGTTCAGACAATACTTGCATGTGATTGTGTTATCACAGTGAAGGCTGGTAGTGGTAGATGAGTGATATTTCAAGGGAAATGGCCTCTGCCATTAGTGACCTTCTCCTTGAGAACTCCAAGGGTTTCTCCAGAACATAGCATATACATCTCTAAAGTAGAGAACCTCGTTACAGTGTTTACCACCCCATATTTTAATCTTACAACAACACTGTGAGGAAATCTTTGCTGAAATATAGTGACTAGCCCAAGGTCATCTGGTGAGCTTTGTGGCTGAGTAGGGTTTGAGGCAGACATGTCCCATGTGAATTGAATGCGCGATGTGGTCTTCAACCCTTGGGCCACAACTCTCAAGTGTGCTGCAGAGCCTTGCCTGCTCAGTTGTTGTAAACCCTTATACAGCCTCCACTTACGGCTGCAGAGCCTTGCCTGCTCAGTTGTAAACCCTTATGCAGCCTCCACTTCCCCCTTGCGTTTTGGGAAGACCTGATGCTAATGTGTATGAATACAGAACAATTATGCCACACCTCCTTCCTCTCTTAGCATGCACGCTGAGAGGAGCAGCAAAACAATCAGATGAGGTCACTCAGCAGTGGAGAAGATCATGGCTCCATCTCTAGGCTTGTTCCTACCCATGGCACATCTGGTGCTCCATTTGTATTTCTGTTGTTGTCTCTCTTGGTCTGCTGATCACTGTCCTGGCCTTGACCCGAGTAAAATCATAAATTTGGCACCCCTTCTTCCAGTGGCAGCATTCATATCATGTGACTGTCACATGCTTACAACGTAATGGGTTCCATGCTGCCACCTAGGGGTTAAAGCTGGCTGCTTGATCTGGAGAGGTTGGAGGTTACTGTACTGCACCACACCTGCTACATTTCACTTTTTATTTTTATTTTGAAGATATCTCAGTATTTGGAACCTCCCATATTTGGTTTCTAAAAACATAGAGATTAATAGGTAGGTGAAGCCCAAGGCAGACATGAGAAGCAGTTGTGAGTGCCCCCCCCCCTTTAAGAGAGGTTTCAGATTTGACATGAGGCATGAAGGCCCCTTCAGCCATTTCCCCCCAACTTATAGTGTGTTTCCAAACCTGTTTTTCTGTTCCTAGGAAGAAACATACAAATGTCCATCTAGTTTGGGCCTCACTGTTGCTGTCATTGTGCCCTGCTCTGGGTTACATATCTGGAGAATATTTAACAGGGCTTCCCTAATGCTTCTGGAAATGTTGAAACTTAGAACAAATATTGACCAAAGGGAAGCACAACTTAGCTGGAACAGGAGAAAAATAAACCAGTTATATAATGGAAGATGTTTGGCACGTAGGAGAAACTGTGTACATCACAGGCATGAAGCAAGCACAAATGTCTATTTTGCAGCAGTGCATGTATTGGGAAGCTAGAACATGCACATACTCTTTGCACATAATGACACATTTCACACCGCTTTGACCTATCAAGTATTTATAACACAATAAAAGAACTCTAAAACATAGCTAAAAAGGATTGTAAAGATATTGAAATGAAGAGCCTGACAACATAGTTCAACTGGAAATGAAAATGGTGGGGTTCCAGAGTTGTGGCTCCTTTTTTGTGTTCGATGATTATATGAATAGTTTATTTCTCTCTTCTTCAGGCAAAAGTACATTGCTTCTTGATCACTATACAAAACATGTAAAATATCATAGGCAAAGAGGATGCGTGAGTAAATTTTGTTGCTGGCTTCCCAGCATATAAACATTGTACTTGCTTCACGCATGTGATGTAAACTTTTCCTCTTCCATGCAAATTATATTAATTTAAGGAAAATGTCCTGCGTGAAATGGCCTTTGCTCATGAAGGCTCACCGTCTGTTAGGTTACAAACTGTAAAGCATTTTGTCTGTGGGGAAAAAAGTGACAGAAATGGGGGAAAGATGTTAGCAGTGATTAATATTTTTCTGATTGGCCAGTGGACTTCACCAAAATGTTCACAGGAATTCACAAAATACTATTGTGAGTGTCACATTTGGCCAATGGGAATATCAAAGGGCTGGAAGCTGGTGCAGGTGAATGATTAAGAGGCTGATGGTGAAATCTTAAACAGAGGTCAACAGGCTTAGAAAGGACTCTATATGCTATATATCGTGTACCAGGAAATCCTGGGCTTCTGTCATGAAATCATTAGATGCCTAGTCTTAGTCTAGTCATTCTGTCTCAGTCTCAGGAACACTGTCTCCAATATCTAGATAATAATATTAACTTACTTCACAGGAATGTCAGAAGGACTGTTGAGATCCAGAGTGGCATTCACTTAAGGGATGCTGGCAAATAATGTCCTGCTACATAGTGTCAGCAGACTAGTAATACTGACCTAAAGTTTCTACCCCCTTTCCACCCACAAGCTTTCTATGCAAGCTAGGGGGATCAACATGTCGGCTTTCATAATCTGAAGCGCAAAGCCACTATACCCTTCTTGATTTACAAGTGCATGTTATACTAAAAAAGAATTTTCCAGACCAAGCTGGATGTACAGTTCTTGATCTAGGGGGGAAGAAGTAGAATTATTTCTGTGATGTCCTGCTCAAGTGTCTTATTCTAAATTAGAGACTGGGCTTCTTCGTAGCCTAACTGGAGTAAATATTTCTAGGGAAACCAATAATTTTTAATAGCATGATCAAAATACCAAGTCGTGTTCTTCCACAATTGTACAAGTATTTTTATAGTGGCAAGAAAGCAACAAAACATAACAAAACAAGCTCTTCTTCTCAGCAAGGATCAGTTTGTTGGCATCGCTCACTCGCTGTGCCTTAAGCTGATCTCTGTCTTCATGTTTGTGTCCTTTGGTTTGTATTATACAAACCAAAGAGGCATCCTTTGGCCTCAGACTCAGAGGTGGTCATGTGTTTGCAACACCACCTGCGGATCTAGATGGTCTAAGGTCAAAGATCCCTACAGCCCCCTCCGTCTCCTCTTCCCGTGTTATGCAAGAAAGATGTGAGAAGAGATTGGCCAGCGGCTGGAACTGAACAAGCCCCACTCCTGCCTCTTGCTACCTCCCCCTCACTATACTGATCCTTTGCCTGCTGGGTTTACAAAAGAACAGCTTTCCCCTCCCGAGGCTATAAAAAAAGTGTGCTCAGCCTCTCTTCTAGTTTTTAGTAGGACGTGGCTGCTTGGATCTGCATTGCTCATCAGCTGGCAAGGCTCCTAGGTGGGTTGCTGGAGTGCCACTCCCTGACGATTATGATACTATTGCAGGAAAACATCTCTGGACACTCTATGCACAGAGGGGTCTTCTTTTCCAAAAGGGCTTAGGACTGTAGCTGTGGAGCTCCTGACTCTTCATACCCTCAGCTGTACCCTAATCCAATACTTTAAAGAAGGTGCCCAGCTTCTTTTCCTTTAGGGTACCTTGGGGGGGGGGCACCTCCGTTTCTTCTGTCTGTGACGGGTGATCATTTCTATTCACTGCAGGAACATAGGAGCATTATGGCTCTGGCCAGGGGAGTCGTTGCCTGGCTGGTACTGGTGGCCTTGGGCTTGCTGGACAGCAGATGCCAAGCAGAACGGGACTGCCGCGTGAGCAGCTTCAAAGTCCAGCTGGACTTTGACAAACAGCAGGTAGGTGATTCAGCCCCACTTTTCTTTTTATCCATTCTAGGGTTGCCAGCCCCAGGCTGGGAAATACCTGGAGATTTTGGGGATGGAGCCTGAGAATGCCGGGGTTTAAGGAGGGGAGAGGAGGGACTTCAGTGGGTTATTATGCCATAGGGGCCACCTTCCAAAATAGCCATTTTCTCCAAGGAAGCTGATTGCTGTTGCCTGGAGATCAGTTGTAATCCCAGGAGATCCCCAGTTACCACCTGGAGACTGGCAACATTAATACATTCCCTGCTGGGAAGGATGATCTGCCAGCAATTTCCCCCCTGCTGGATTACAAGCCTCCAAATTATCCAAGAAGAGAACATCCAACTGCTCCTCTGGCGCCCCAAGCCAAACCCAATTGGCCCGTTCTAAATATTGCTGGAACAAACGAATCCTCCTGGATCACAAACTTCTAAATCTGGTCTGAAAGATGGATATCTATAATAAACTGTCTCTGTGAGCCAAGGAAATGAAGGCGCTCTTTAGAACATGGTTCTCACTAAAGAAAACCGTGGAGAGTGTGTTTAGATTCCTTAGTACTTGATCAGTTAATTGACACTCATTCCCTAGAGCCATACAGCTAACATTTATGTAATTTCTTATATTACTTGATTGTGAATACAGAGATGTCATTTTGAGCTTATTGCCTCAAGGCTGCCAAAGTGGTGTCGGGTCTTATTTCAAACCCAGCCAGTCATATTATAAAAACAAAGTGCTGTTGATTTAAAGTCCCCCCCCCATCCCATTTATCTAAAATATCTCCCTTCCAGGTTATAAAATTCCATTATTTATGGGTCCTTCTGCTCAGTGCATCTAGTAGCTACGTTCCCCCCTCACTTTCCCTCCAAACTGTACGTGGTGCTCTCTTCCCCCTTTTTATCCACGCAACAACAATGCTGTGAGGTAGGTAAGACTGAGAGAGAGTGACTGGCCCAAGGTCACCCAGCAAGCTTCCCAGCAGGATGTGAATTTGAACCCAGGTTTTCCAGATCCTAGTCTAGAATTCTGGCCACTAACTTTTGAGAGCCAGCATGGTTAAGAGTAGCATGGTTAAGAGCAGCGGACTCTAATCTGGAGAACTGGTTCCTCATCCCTCCATATGAAGCCTGCTGGGTGACCTTTGGCTGGTCACAGTTCTCTCAGAGGCCTCTCTGCCCCACCTACCTCACAAGGTGCCTGTTGTGGGGAGAGGAAGTGAAGGTGATTTAAGCCCCTTTGAGATTCTTAGAGTACAGAAAAGCAGGGTATAAAAACCTACTCTTCTTCTTCTGGGCATGGAGCAAGGGTCACTGGGGGGGTATTTGTGAATTTCCTGCATTGTGCAGGGGGTTAGACTAGATGACCCTGGAGATACCTTCCAACTCTATGGTTCTACTGTTCTTTTTTCACCATATCAACTGGTGCCAAAGCAAGACAATTACGTGATGTCACCTTGCTCTGCTGTCTGTTTACAGCAAGGGGTTTTTGAACCCTGTGGTGTGTTCTGGGACATCTTTAGCTTTTGTTGTACAGATTGCCATTTGCAGCAGTTGAAGCTAGGCTAGAGGCTTAAGCTGCCTTGCTTATAAACAGTGGCTGCTCTTTAGCCTATTTACAAAAGTCCAGAAGGGAAGGTCCTGGTCTTAGCAAACTAAATTCTGAAAGTATAGTTCTTACAGAAATCTCTATGCTGATTTCACTTAATTGTGGCTAGCTTCTTTTTTTAAAAAAATTAATTTTTATTTTGAACTTTTTGAGAAAATACAGAATAAAGGGGGAGGGGGGTTAGAAGAAAAGGTATAACTACCAAAACATAGTATAAAGAGCATTTTTTGCAAATATAAAGGACAATCCTTGATTCAAATACTTGAATTTTTAGGAAAATTATATAACATTATAACTTTAAAAACCACTATAACAATCTACTCAACATTCTACCATTTTTTCATAATGTATTCACATTTTATCCTATATTATCAGTTATATGATAAACCATGAATAACCACATAAAAACTGTGTATAATTTTAACATAACAGTTTGTTGTGATAATAATCATACAAAAAAAAAATCTACAAAAACATCACAAAAAACTCACCAGTTATTTTCAAATTCATATTTCGATTTCTGATTAATGAAGTTTGTCAGTTTTGCCATAAAATAATATTTCTGAATTTTATCTATCTAAATCTCAAGAGTTTGGCAATCTTCAGTTTTCCACTTTGCTGCAATTACTACTCTTGCTGCAGTTAACATGTATCTAAGCAATTCATGTATAGTCCTGTCTGCGTTCACTGGTAGAATTCCTAGTAACATTGTCTTTGGTAACATAGCAAATTTTATATTCACATTTTTTTGAATTTCAGTATGTATTTCTATCCAATATTTACTAGTGTTTTTGCAGGACCACCACATATGGTAAAAGGTACCATCTATCTTTTTACATTTCCAACAATCCTTTATAATTTTTATCCATCTTCTTGATCACTTTTGGGGTAATGTACCAGTGATAAAACATTTTATACCAATTTTCTCTAAGTGCCTAACTCACAGTAAATTTTATGTCTTTCATCCATAGTTCTTCCCATTGCTGAAATGAAATCTCCTTCCCAAAATTTTGTGACCATTTCACCATGCATGTCATAACTTGTTCTCTTTCAGTGCCACATTATAATAAAAGTTTATAAATGTGTCCTAGAAGATGATCTTCTTTGTTCAATATTATCTTTTCAAATTCAGTCCGATTTCTTAGTTTATTTCCTTCTCAATGAATATCTTCTTTAAGCCTTGATGAGAGTTGTAGATATATTAACCACTGTATCTTTTTTCCTTCTTCATTCATAGCTTGCCAAGAGTTAATTTTCCTATGTTTGTTAATCATATCTTGATATGTTATAAAGTCATTACTTTTCCTCTTATGTCATCTAGTGGTTAGCTTCTTAACAGTGCCAATAATTTACTTCAGTTTAATTGCCTTCCTCTTCAGAATAAACAGTTCTGTGAGATACCTAGAGGCATTGTCAAAGTGAGACAGATTTTTGAGGATTGCACTCCGCCGCGCTCTCTGCCTCCCCTCCCGTCTCAAAATGGGATGCGAGAGGGAACACCCTCCGGCCTCCGAGCGAATAAGCGCGGGGAGAGAGGCTGCATCCAGGAGGATCCTGAGCACACCGACTCAGAAGCAAGTCCCATGGTGTCCTGCGTAGAACTCTCTCTGCCCAACCCTGCCCAAATGCATGGGAAAGGAAGATGGCGGATGGCAGCAAGGGCTCGGCTGCGGGTGGGCAGGTGGGGCGGCTCTCGCTCGAGTGGTGAGACCAGCTCGTGGGGGTAGGAGGCGGCGGCGGCGGGGGGAGACAGATGCTAGGTGGAGCTTGAGTGTCCCGAGCTGGCGTTCGGCGACTGAACCTTTTCCACCCTGGATTCAGTTTTCCCGTGAGCTCCTCCACGCCTTGAGCAGCTCGTGGGCAGAGTCCGTTTGGGCAGCAGTGCCTTTTCTTCGATGCACCGAGAGGCGAGAGAGGACGGAGCCAGAAGGGTGGCAGTGGCGGGGACTGGGGGTCTGGGGAGCACGGCCGGGGCTTCTCTTCAGGCTGGCGCCTCAGCGCTGTCCTGTTTGGTGCCCCCAAGGGCTGGCATGCTCTAGGCGAATGCCTAGTTCGCCTAGCGGGTGAGCCAGCCATGGATACAGCTGTTAGAGTAGCAGACCATGGTCTGGATGGAATATCCAAGTTCAAATTCCTTCCCAACCATGAAACTTACTGAGTGACCTTTGGCTAGTCACCATTACTTAGTACCTCACAGTACCTCACTTGGTGGTTTTGAGGGTGAACTGAGGAAAGGAAGGGCCTTCTATGCCTTCCTGATCTCCTTGGAGTAATGGGATAGACAGATATTGTGCCAGGGAATCCCTATAGTTTATATGTTGGTGCTGTTTACACAAAGCTATCTTATTGGTGCCTAGAACAAATTTAGAGTCCAGTGGCACCTTTAAGACCAACAAATGTTTATTCAAGGTATGAGCTTTCATGTGCATGCACACTTTGGAAAGGAAGCTAGATTTCAAACTTATAGATACAGACTGAACAGCAAATTAACATGTAACATGATGCATATGCTTTAAGATATTCAAAGTGAAACTAAATAACAGGCTAAGGTTATAAGGTCAATGACATAGACTCTACCCTCCAAACCTAGACAGAAATTACATAGCAAGAAATAGGTAACATTTTGGGTCTTTAAAAAGTAACTACAAATTCCTGCCTCCTTTGATACATTTTACTATTTTTAGTAAAAATATATATACTTTACTGTCAGCATTCTGATTAGGGATAGGCACAAACTGGGAAAATGTGGTTCATTTCGGTTCGTGGTTCAGGCCCTCACAAACTTCATGAACCAAACCAGTTTGTTTGGTGTCTAAAAGTTTGTGATGGTTCGTGGCTCATGAACTGTCACAAACATCTAGGCGCCAAATGAACTGGTTTGGTTCGTGAGGTTCGTGAAGCAGTAGAACACCCCCCTCTGGCATGCTAGAGACACCAAACTTGCAGGGGATCTCCTCTACCTGCCCTAAAGGTTTGGTGAGGATTGGATTTGCGGGGTCCAAGTTACACCCCCCCCCCAAAGAAGGTGACCCAAAGAAGTGCTTTCTGGGGAAATGACAGGCGCAGGTTCAGGGGGGTCATGAATGTACAGAATGGACCCTGTGCAAGCTAGAGATATCGAAATTGCATGGGACCTCTCTGTGATGCTCCTCTACATGCCCTCCAAATTATGTTGCTTTGAAGTTTGGTAAACATTTTGATTGAGTGAAGACAGTCTGTTTTGAAATGTATCCATTCACAAACACCATGAACAGCCACAAACTGCTCGAAAGTTCATGAAAAGTTTGTGCCAGATTACCTGGCATGAACTTCAGTTTGTGAACCACAAACTGGACAAAATTCATCATGAACTTTAGTTCACAAGCCAGTTTGTGCCCTTCCCTAACTCTAATAGCTTCCATTAGAATTCCCTGGATATTTCTTCCAAGTAAGATCCTCTAAATTAATTTTGATTTTTGTTTTAAGCAGCTTTCTGGTTAAACACTCAGAGAAATTTTGCAGACATTGAAAATAATTTAGCATCTATTGAAATTCCTTACGTGTTTGAACTGGAGAAAAACTCTGCAAACCATCTTCTAATTTCACTCTGGTGATATTTCAGTGACGGCTCTATTTCTAATAATATAATGAGGGACAAATCTAGGCAGATTCAGTTTGTTTCCTTTCCTGATATTGGGTTGGATTCTGCAGAGGATTTCTGCTGATGGGGAGGGGTACTGATATTTGCTGATTGCCCCTCCCATGGCAGATCTCTGATTTCTCTTTCATCATTCTGACATAGAGATTTTTTAAAGAACTATCCTAGCCACCAGGAGCAGTATGGGGGGATCTAGAGGGGGACAGGTATGAAAGTTAAGCTCTTCTGATAGAAATCCTTCTGTCGGCAGATATTTTTGGTGGGATCCAAGAGTGTATCCCTTCTCCTGCTCCGCTATGCAGGCAAAATCAGAGCATTTCTTCTTTCTCTGCAGTATGCTGGTACGTGGTATGCCATGGCCAAGAAAGATCCTGAAGGATTGTTTCTTCAAGACAACATAGTAGCCCAGTTTTTTGTTAATGAACATGAAAAGATGCAGGCAAGGGCTGTGGGCAGAGTGCGGCTCTTTGGGTGAGTAAAGTAGCCCCTTTCTTGTTCTCCTTTCCCCATAATCCCGCTTCTTACTAGGCCCTTTTCTGGATCTCCATTGTAAGTGCAAATAACCCCTAACAGCTTTGCAAGGAGTTTTCTCACCCTCCAGGTAGGGCCTGGAGCCCTCCTGGAATTACAACAAAATCTCCAGACTGCAGAGAGATCAATTTCCCGGGAGGAAATGGCAGCTCCAAAGGATGGGTTCTCTAGGCATCGCATCTCTGCTGAATTCCTTTCTCAAGCTGTCTCATCCCCAGGCACTACCTCCAGATCTCCAGGAATTTGCGAGCTGGAGTTAGCAACCTAGCCTTAGGGGTAGGGCGGGGTATAAATTTAAATATAAATAAATAAATAAATAAACCTTAGTATAAGGCAAACTGTGTCTCTGTCTTTCCTTCTCTTTCAGTCAATGGGATATATGTGCTGACATGGTTGGCACTTTCAATGAGACTGAGGATTCTGCCAAGTTCAAGATGAGATATTGGGGTATGGCAGCCTATCTCGACAGAGGAAGTGAGTACCCATTCATCATTTTTTTTTAAAGAAAAGACTAGAAGAGCAATCCTAATCTGGTGTATCCTGAATCCTACTCAGGTCTGCTCAATGGGGGCTGCTTCCTAGATAATGTTTTTAGGATTGGTCTGCTGGGCATCTGTGAAAGACTTTACTATGGCATGGCACTCATTTTTGTCTCCAGCATTAGCCCTATTAAGACATTATACTTGTGGTGCTATGAATGTGTGTACAGGATGGACACTCTGCACACAATCCTCCTTGTATGTACAATCGCTAGTTCCTCTGAAAGGAGCAATGTGTGGCTTTTCTGTCTCAGTATAGGCTTAAATAGAAAAAGAGTTCTATTATTTAGTTTAAATATTTATATTCCTTACTCTTCCAGGAAAGGGTGTTCTACAATTAAAGCCACAAATAAAAATGACAGCCTCACAGTAACAGCAGTCTAAAATTGCAAATATTATATATATGTGTGTGTGTGTGTGTGTGTGTGTATATATATTCACATGAGCTGGATGACCCCTCGTCGCTGTCGCTGGTCCCCTGCTGCTCCGACCTATAAGCCACGGTGACTTGCCACCCAGGGAGTGGAAGAGGGGAACCAAAGAGGCCTCAGGCAGTCGGGAGGGGAGGAGGTTACATCACCACCCTCTGCTCTCCTTTGGCGTATTCAGCCTGCTCCTTCTCTCTCTCTTGCCCTCAGTGCCGCCAATGCCATCTTATCCACCTTGGCCTCTGTTCCTGTTCCCCCTTTTATTCCTGCTCCGTGACACCTGCTCAGCCTGAAGTTCTACCCTCCACCCACCCCTTCGGCCCCGCCCTCCCTTCTTAGGCTAGGACGCTGAGCTGGGGGCGCGGTCTCCTTCTGGTTCCCTCTCTCTGGCCCCAGCCGCTGCACTTGCCACGCATCTCCCTCCCTCCAGGCAGCTCGGGGCTGAGGGTGTGCCCTCATGCCAGGCCAGCAGCCTCTCCCCCTGTTCCGAGACATTTCCCTCTGAAGCTGGGCCTCTGTTGCTGGTAGCGTGGCCTGGACGCCTCAGAGGCGTCTCATCGGATCCCGGGGACGACGGCGTCGGTGCGGCTGGTCGGCTCCGGGCCTCGGTAGGTGCTGCTGAGGGCGGGGCTGGGGTGGGCGGCAGCTCCTGAGTCCCGAGCGGCGGAGGCCAGCCCTGGGGAGGTTCACCCTCGGGACACACACAAACACACACAAACACACATATCCAGAGGCACCCAATTATAATTGCACTGAGCAATCAATTCAACTCATTGGGATCATCCCCAAAGGAATAAAAACCAACCCAGTTATATGTAAGCATTTTCCTGGTACCAAAAGAGTACCCGATTCAGTGCCAAGTAGAGAGTGAAAAGGGGCATCTCTACAGATCCCTTTGCCAGTGGGACCCTTGGCTGAGCTGATGGAGGTGACTGAAGGTGCTAGGAATTAATGTTCTTGTGGATGTCAACATTTGTGCTGAGACCACACCAGGTCAAGCTCAGGACTTCAGGACCACAATGACAACCTGGGGCAACTCAGAACAATTAAAAAGAAAAGCAAAGCAACACATACTGAACCTTCTTTTATGCACTGAATGTCTTTCTGGTGATCTGATTAGGGGGCTGAAGATTCAGCCCTTGTTGTGGTTAGATCATTGTCTTCTGAAGGCACAGTTGAGCTTGCTGCCTTCTTCCTGCAGAGGTAGTGAAACAATTTGGATAGTCTTCCTCCAGAGATTAATGAATTCTGTTGGTTTCCAGGCAGCTCTGGGGGATTTTGAGAACCTCCCCCGTGACTCTGTGGAGCCCTTTGTAGCTGATTGAACTATAGGCTGACTGGGGCCATAAAAAGGGTTACTCCTTGGTGTCTTCTACTAGATGCTGTAGATGTGACCCTGGGGAGATATGAAGTGGATTGGTGATGATTAGTGCTATTGGGAGAAGACTCTGGATGAAGCAGACAGAACACACCACACAGCCCATTTAATATAGGTGAAGGAAGTTTTAAAATCCACCACCACTGCATCAGCTGAATTTTATCTGGCTCCTCAATAGTTTACAGTATTTTGTGACTTGATAAAACCTAAATCCACCCCTGTCAGTGATTTTAGTTTGGACTGTGATGAATATGCAAAGTTCTTTGCTGATAAAATCTTTTTCGTCTGTTCTGCTCTGGAGGCCCAGCTGAGAGTAGATCTGGTAAGGTGCCAGAAGCACTGGTTGTGTTTTTGCTGTTGGTAGATTCAGGTTGATCCTACCAGTGGATACTAACAGGGTTCTTTGGAATGTAAGAGCCACCACTGGGTCTTGGCTTGTGCCTGTCCTGGCTTTTAAAATAATGCTGGTGAAAGTTATGAGACCAATTGGTTAAAGTTGTTCATGACTCACTGATAGATGAGGGCTCTTCCTAGACCTTTAAAGGAAGCAGTTATTAGAACTTTGCCTTTAAAAAATCATTGACTAAGAATAAGGTGGTCAGTTATAGGCCTGTCTCCAATTTACCCTTTCTGGGGAAGATGATAGATTGTGTGGTGGTGGAACAGCTCCAGGAATTCTTGGATAATAATCTGGCTTTCACCCATTTCAATCTGGTTTAAGGCTGAGGTTCAGAACTGAGGCACCTTTAGTTGCGCTGGAGGACAGATCTTTGTTTAAATCTGGACAGGGGACAGTCAACACTGTTGATACTGTTAGATCTATCTGTGATTGACACAGTTGGCTATTCCAGTCTTATCCATGAGATAGAATATGGAGTTGACCTTAGGGGAGTACCTTTTCAGTGGTTTTGATCTTTTCTATCTCATTGGATGCAAACAGTTTCCATTGAAGGAATCATCAGGGTGGGATGTCCTGTGCAGTGCCACAGGGTTCTTATTCTCTCACCTATGCTCTTCAGTATTTATATGAGGCCAGTGAATGAGATTGTGGGGATGTCATCAATATGCAGATGACTACCCAGCAGTATATTTTATTAACCAACCTTCCAGGTGCATTTGTCTCGGCTCTGATCCAATGTTTTGAGGCCATGGTCAGATGGCTCAGACAGAACAAACTGAAGCTGAAACCAGACAAGACAGAGGTGATGCTGGTTAGGAAGGACAAGATTTTAGAGGGATTCGATCCACTGGTGGTTGATAGAGTGGAGTTAGTATTTGGAGAGCAAGTTAAAAACTTGGTGCTCATGTACCCAATCCTGCTGTTTGAAAAGCAGTTTTGTGTAGTAGCCAAGAGTGCCTTCTATCAGCCACATCTGGTTCACTACCTCACACCATCTTTAGACTTAGCTGAGGTGGCCACACCAATCCATCTCTTTGTAACCTTACAGTTACACTACTGTAATACTCTCTGTCAGACTCCCCTTAAGAATTCAGCAGCTTGATTATTGTCAGAAGCTAGCCAATGGAAACATTCCTCACCGATCTCCACAGGTAGACTGGCTGCCAGGTTGTTTTCAGGGGTGTGTGTGTGTGCACTAACTATACTTGCCACCTGCTGGCTATGTTAGGGTTGCCAGCAATGTTCCCTCTAAGCTGTGGGGTCTTGTGAGCAAAAAATTCTGCTTTGTGAGCTACCGGCATTAAAGTTGTGAGCCAGCGATTTGGCTACTGCATAAATTAGTCTCCTCTGGCACCATCCTTCCTGAGCTGACAAAAACATGTGAGCCGAAGGCTAAAAAACTGTGAGCTAGCTCACACTAACTCAGCTTAGAGGGAACACTGGTTGCCAGCACCCTGTTCCAGGTGGGAGTTTCCCTGCTTCTGTGGGCTCTTCACCACTTGCCAGCTGGCCAGTGGGGTGAAACCCCACCTGCAAATGCCCCCAAACACAGCACAATGACATCACCAGGAGGTGATGTCATCACACCACTTATGTCACATGGTGACGGTCTAGGTTTTGGCCAAAACTCTATGGTAAATCTGGGCTCAAAACCATAGAGTTTTGTCCAAAACCTAGAGTGTCACCATGCAACATTGGCAGTGTGATGACATCCCTTCCAGATGACGTCATCATGCTGTGCACACTTTTCACGCATGGCAGAAGCTCCCAGAGAGGAGCAAAGAGCCCCCAGCTGGCAGCAAGATAAGACTCGGCAACCCAAGGCTGTGCTCCCATTTAAGGCAGCCTGTCCCTCCTTCTTCACTGTAGGTTCCACTTTGTGGAATGAGCTCCCTGAGAAGGTGAAGGGGTGAAATCTTCAGATATTTTCAGCAGGCACTGCAAGGCCATTTTGTTTGCCAGGGCTTTTAACAGGGAAGAAACTGCAGGTGTCCTTTGAGGTGGAGGGTGGTTATTTGGAGTTTTATTTTGCTAGATTTAAATAATGATGCTTTTAGTTATCATTTGTAAACTGCCTTGAGCCATGAGGAAAGGCAAGATATAATTTTTTAAATAAACAAATAGAAATAAACAGCAGAGGCACCACAAATGAAAAGGCCTTCTTGATCACCTCTCGGAGTAGTTGATCTTAAAATTTTGGCTTGCTCATTCACGAGCAGACAGTCCCTTCTATTTGCTGAGAATTTTGGTGGGTGAGGAGTGAAACATAATATCCTTACACCTGTCGTGGTATATTCCTTTCTACCACCTCAACACTCTACTACTCTAAACAGAAACTGCAAAATATCCCTCTTTCTCAGACTGGTTTTAGAACCTTCCTTTCTTCAGTCTTCACTAGACTTGCCTGGGCTGAACTGTCTGTTGAGAAGGAGCTATTATTTCCAGAGTGTTTCCTCCACTATGACATGTACTGGAGATGCTTGTTTGCATAGCAGTTTCAGAGACACCATTAGGGTTTCCCTTTTTGCCTTCAACCTTCAGCAGGGAGTCCACCTTTGCCCTGCCACGAAATCAAAATACAGCAGCTTTCCTAAGATCTTAGGGTCCAAAGGCCGTTGTCCTTATCAGTGCCATCATGCTGAACACCAAATTTGCTGCATCCCTTTCATGGAATGGTTTCTGATGTCACCTCTACAGGGTGACTCTATGATAGAAATAGCTGTTCGAGAGGCACTACTTTTGAAAGCTTTGGATGTTTTTATTTATTTATAAAATTTATATCCCGCCCTTCCCCAATGGGCTCAGGTTGGGTAACAACAAAGTGCATAAACAATTAAAACCAATAATACAATTCTTAAAAGAGCTAAAACCCTTAACAATTAAAAGATGGCACATTAAATATAACAGTTCAGACCTCCTATAAGTCAGGCTGATGGTAACTGGAGCTGTACCAGGTTCATATAGTACCAAACTCCACATAGGGCAAATAGTCATGACAGCCTCTATTCAGGGAGGCCAACTAATTTGGTGTCCGCTGCCTCAGTGATAGGCCAAGAAATAAGCAGCAGTTCTAAGCTGTGAGTGCTGTACACTGCAGATGCAGGCAAATCATTGGTGTAGCAAATTAGTATCCATTACTTACTCAGTAGAGAACTCCAGTGAGCTGAGAACATAACAACTGCAAAGGCATCCATAGTGACATTACTGACACCCACCAATCACAGAGCAGCATGCTGATGATGCCCCCAGGAAGCAGCCAACCAGCACACACTGATGTTGCTGCCCTGACATCACTCTGTTGCACACACTTGTGAAAGAACCATAGGAGACACAGCTCCCTCTGCTGCAGAGACGGCTGTGCCATGTCCAGTAGTATTCTTGTCAATGTGAAGCTCCTAAGAGTTCCAAATCTCCTCTTGCAAATGCATTCCCTTTTGATGGGCCCGCACGCATGGCTAACCATATCATCTAGACACCTCTACAGCTCACTTGGCAGAGGAAGGATCAGGGGCCTCTACTAGACAAGAGTTCTTGTTCTTCTTTGAAGAGGGAGAATATCCTAAGGAATAGCTTTTTGCCACACAACAACAGGAGAATACAGAACAGAACATCCACAGATGGTATCGAAGGGAAATATGGGGATAAAGTGCACCTCTTGGCCAGCTTAAAGATGACGAGCGCAAAACAGGAAGAGGGGGAGGCAGGACTAGAACACATACTACACACATTGCAGAGCATTCCTCTAGCCATATGTCAAACTGGGCATACAGGAAAGAGATACATCATGGGGTTTTTAGAGTCCTCCTTTGGGCCTGGTTTCAAAACTAGCTATAGACAGCAGCACAGAGAAGGCTGCAGAGAAAGGCATAGTCATGGTATACATGATGCCCTTGGTTCAATGCAGCTTAAGAAAAGCTATCGGGGAATCCTGGAAGAAGTCTGTGGTACAGCTGATGTTTTGCACTGTCAGACCCGATAACTGGAGATGGACCACTCATGCTGATTGGCTGCTCCAGACAATTGTTTTGCTTAGCACCTTTCCATGAAGCCATCCCCGTATGCATTCATGGCTGTTTTTTAATGGCTGACCACTGTTCATTCCAGCAACCCTTGTGTTCCATCTCCCCTCCTCATCATAGAGGTGTGCCGCACACCAGCCACAATCAGACGGACTGTCTACCCCAAGTAGTTTGCCCCACTCTCTTGCTAGAGCACAGTGCAGTGAGCGGACAACTCCCTCTGCCCCCTCCCAGTACAAATCTCTTGATGAAAATAGCTAAAGTTGGTAACAAGCCAGAAACTGGTATAGATCTTTATCTACCAAACTCCACCGAAACAGTAACACAGTCCACAGGGAAACAATCCAAACATTTACTAACCAGCACCAGAAATGGGAGTTCTGAAGGGAGTTTTGAAGGGAGGGGGGCTTTGTTTTTCACTTCCACTGGGTTCATTAGGAGTGTTCATGTTTACACCAACGGAACATTACTTTAGAACAAAGTTTGAGTCCAGGGGCACCTTTAAGACCAACGCAGTTTTATGCAAGGTGTGAGCTGTCGTGTGCACCGTCAGACATGTCACGTCATCAGAACATTACTTTGGCACTGACACATGTGGCCCGAGGGAGATTAAAGCCTGCTCCTCCTCCCAGCACTTTCTGGTTGTTATGTACGCAGACCGCCGCCAGGGGTCTGCAGCACAGGTAAGAGCTTGGATCCCAGAACAATTTCATTAGGAGTGTTCATGTTTACACCAACGGAACATTACTTTAGAACAAAGTTTGAGTCCAGGGGCACCTTTAAGACCAACGCAGTTTTATGCAAGGTGTGAGCTGTCGTGTGCACGCACACTTCGTCAGACATGTCAGAACATTACTTTGGCACTGACACATGGCCTGAGGGAGATTGAAGCCTGCTCCTCCTCCCAGCACTTTCTGGTAATGGCCATCTCTGTGTCTGGAGCCAAACTACAAGTGATGAGGGCCACAGGTCCATTGGGAAGCTGCCAACACCATTCTAGAACCACATGCAGCTTTTAAAAAATTGCCGCCTAGTCTGATGTGGCTCCGGGCCGCACCACTCACCTTTGAGCTCTTGTCCCACTCCCACACCTTTTCAAGTGCCAAACCTTCTGCGTGTGAAAGGGCATCGGGGGGGGGGGATGACGACAAGAGATCCTGGGACCACTATGCCAACACACCTGGTCCGGGCTGGGGCCTTGTGGCAATTTTTAAAAGATGACAAAAGCTTCAAAAATGGCAGCAGCAGCCATGGGATTGACCTGTGGCTCCCATCACCTGTAGTCTGGCTCTGAAACAAGGTTTATACTGGGGCAGTATCAGCAGGGTACTATACTGGTGGATCTCTGTTATGTTGGTTCAGTTGTTCTCCTAAGCAGCTTACAGATTGGCTTTAGGACTGTGGCCCGAGTTCCTGAATTCTCTTATGGTTTCTTCCAGATGACGATCACTGGATAATTGCCACAGATTATCATACATACGCCCTGCACTACAGCTGCCGTGTACTCAACGAGGATGGCACTTGTGCTGACAGCTACTCTTTTGTCTTCTCTCGGGACCCACATGGGCTGCCTCCAGAAGCACAAAGGATCATCAGACAGAAGCAGAAGGAGCTCTGCTTAGAAAGGCAATACAGGGTTATTGTTCATAATGGTAAGAAATATTTCACTAGGGTTTTATAGAAGAGTGGGTGGCTAAAGGTCCCTTTATTAATGCTTGGAGTGTTAGAAGCGGCTTTTTTCTTGCATAGATTCTCCATGTTGTGAGAGGTGACATTGGTTAGTGAGAGTCCCCCATCTCTTTGAAAGGTAAATTTCAGACCCCAATTTGACTGGAACCACATAAGGAGGGAAGAGGGGGTTAAATCGTCTGCCTGCTTGTGTCTTCACTAATCAGCACGACGTTGTCATTAGCCCTTTATATGGGAAAAAAGGGACCTGGTTTTGACACATAGTTTCAGTGTGGAGGACTAAAGAATCAACCCCCCACTCTCCTCCCCCTATGGCCCTGATTTGGGGCACCATGCCAGCAACTGCTCCTTAAAATTGATTGAAAGATCCAAACACAGAGCTCTTCGCATCTCATTTCTCTTGACTCCATGAAATTGCTTGAATCCTCAAGTCATGGCCGGGATTTGATTCCTCAGGTACACTTTTCCTCTTTCTTTATTTTTCCCACTCCCACCATCGTGAAATATCTACAGTAACAGCTGGCTGCAACAGGCTGGTTTAACAGTTGTTCACTGATATATTCATAGAGATTAGATGTCACAAGCGGGGACCCCCAAGAAACTTGCAGAAGCAGCCATCCTATTTCCTCTCTCTCTCCACTTCTCTCGGTGTCTCTCTCTTTCCCCCCCTCTAACTTTCTTTCTCTCCCCCCCCCCATGTCTGCTGTCACTCCTCTCTTTCTGCCTCCCTCCCTCCCTCCCTCCCTCCTTCCATTGTTCTCTTTCTGCCTGGCTGCTCGGCCTCTTCCCTGCTGCAGTGGCTACAGCTCTCCTGCCAGCCCCAGCCTTGACAGCATTAGCAGCAGCTTGCTCAGTCCCCCACCCCCGCAGCTTCACCACCTGAGCATTTTGCCTGGCCACTGGGTCTTTTCCCTGCCATGGTGGCTGTGGCTGGCCTCCCTCCTGCCAGTTTAACTGCCTTGGTGGCTCTGTTGGCTCCTTGCCTGGCCTCTTCCCTGCCAGTGTGAATGCAGCTCACCTGCCCTCCCCAGCCTTACCACCTCAGCAGCATTAGCAGCAGCTTACTTACCCCCCCCCCGGCGGTTTCATCACCAAGGTGGCTCACCTGGCAACTCAGCCTCTTGCCTGCCATGGTGGTTTCAGTTTGCCTCCCCCCTCACCGTTTGCCTCCCCCCTTCACCAAAGCCAGTTTGGTGTAGTGGTTAAGAGCAGTGGACTCTAATCTGGAGAATCGGGTGTGATTTCTCACTCCTCCACATGCAGCCAGCTGGGTGACCTTGGGTCAGTCACAGTTCTCTCAGAGCCGTTCTCTGAAGAGCAGTTCTCTCAGCTCCACCTACCTCACAGGGTGTCTGCTGTGGACAGAGGAAGGGAAAGGAGCTTGTAAGCTGCTCTGAGAGAGACTCAGAGTGAAAGGGCGGGGGTATAAATCCATCTCTTCTTCTCCACCTTGGTGGTTCTGCTGGCTCCTCGCCTGCTCGCCTGACTGTTCACTCAGCCTTTTCAGTGCCATTGTGGCTGCGACTCGCTTGCCCACCCCCAGCAGCTTTGCCACCTCAGCAGCTCTGCCAGCCATTCACCCGGCCTTGCTGCTGCAGTGCCAGCCCCCTGCACCCCATCATTTTCTGTTTCCTGGTCTCTTTGCCGCCTCTGTGGCAGTGGCAACTCCCCTCCCACCCTCCTGCAACTTTACCACCTCTGGAGGCATCTAAAAGCTGCGAAGGCACAGATAATACCTTTTCTTTGGAGGGGATTTAAACCCAAATGTATTTTTAAAACTTTTAAGATTTTTCTGCAAACTTAGGGAGTTCCCCGCGTTCAGAGAAAGATCTCCTTTCTCTCCACGTGGACCTGATCTGAAGATTTAGGTATCCACAGATCTGCCTACACATGAGAAATAATATATAGATTAATGACTAACAACAAAATTAAATAACAAGCAATAAATATCAAAGAAATAATTGCCATCATTAAGAAGTTTCATTAGCCCATTTCTATATCTGCCAGCCACACAAGAGAGATGCCATAGCTATTGTTTAGGTTCTGCAAACACAGGAGAACCTCCAGGAGTGTAGAAATATCTTAGTTTACACAAACCCTAATTCAGGGGTAACTCCCCCCAATTAATAACAAGACCTACATGTATCACATAAACACACCACTAGGTTTCAGAACTGGTATGTGGAAACACAGTGGCCAGGAAAATGGGGAGATGGCTGTAGAACCAGACAGCAGAAGGAGGCAAGGTGGGGTGGAGGCCTGCTTACATGGGGGGAGAAAGCAGGAGGAAAGGTGAGCATAAGCCATGGGCAGGAGAGCTGAAGCTGGTGGAGGCAACCTGAGGTAAGCCAGAGTCTGTGGAGCTCACTTGGGATTTCCGCTTCCACAAGTCCTTGTAAACCTCCTTAAATTGTATATAGTTTCAATGTATATTGAACTGTATTGTGGGTAGTGTAGTTTTTAATACTGATTGGCTTAATTGGTGTGATGCCACAGAACACTCAGAAATATCCCAGTTGCTCACTCAACAAAGCTATCTGATTTCGTTAGGGAAGGGAAAGTTGTCAATTTGGCTGGGATTGAAATAGTTCATTGGCTTTAAGAGACTAGAGAGGAATCACTTTGTGAGGCAGGCTGAGGACCAGGAAGTAGTCCAGGAAACCGGGAAGCTATTTGGGTTGGTGGAGCTCAAAAGCAAGTTATTCAAAATGAAGGATGAGGAGACTGGGCTCCTGATGGTAGGGGAAAGTGATGGTTAGGAAGTGCAGAGGCCTTACAGATGAGACCTATGGAAGGATAGGGCTGGTGCGAAAGAAGACTCTGATCCCCAGAGTGCTTGAGGTCATCAAGAGATGCTTGTATGCTTTGGGGAAATGACAAGCAGGATTACTAGGGCGTCTAGCCAAGAGGTAGGTTGGCTAAAAGCGGTGGTACAGTAGGGTCATGAAGGAATAATTGGTGGTAGAAGCCCAGAACTGAAGAAACAAGCCGCCAAGGAGAAAATGGGGATTCACATAGGAAGCTATTTGGGAGCGTGTGAATAATTGCCAGGTAGACAATGGGCAGGTACGGAAAGTCAGGGGAGAAGGGATCTGTGCCAGGCTGGGCAAGGGTTCTAGATCTAGAATCTGAACCCTGACTAGATGATGCATCTCTGAGTATCATAGAAGAGAAATTCTGCCAGTTGTGGCTTCTGCTGTCACTGCAGCATTGTGAACCGGCAACCTAGAGGGTAGCAAGGATCAAGAAGCCATAGATAGCAGGTGCCTGAATTTTACATACTGATTTGAAGAAATCAGCCAAGTCTTTTGCTGCAAGCTTATGACTACAAATATGCTGCCTTTATTTTTATAACGTCATCTGAGATATTTTAAACAGGATTTTTGCTTTGTTCTTTTTTCAGGATTCTGTGACAGCGCAATATATGGAACAACCTAATCCATGGAAACCACTTTGCAGTTGTAAAATTTATCAACTATACTGTTTTGTCCGAAGTCCTTCTTTTAGCTCTGAGTATATTTATCTAAACTGTGCCTTTTACCCTGCCTAGAAGTAAGAGATACTTAATAAACAGAAATTAGCCTTGCTGCGCACTGTTTGACCCCAAACATATCTTATATATAATTATAGCATGTTATATTGGCAAAATTATTTCATTGTGGAGTTTAGGATTATGGGTTGGATCGTATGACTCCTTTCCTCTAAACTGGATCCTATGACTCTCTTCTGGGAAGTTTCCTTCAAGGGAGAAAGACTTCCTCCAATGGAGAATAACTCTTTCTGATGGAGAAAAGCTTCCTCCGATGGAGAAAATTGTCTTTGTCGAAGGAAATCTTTCTCTGTGTAAGGGACTCATGGGATCCAGTCTATCTCTAGCTAAATAGTCATAGGAATGAGGCGCCATCTAGAGGTTTCTATGCCTTGAAGAAACTGGAACAGAATAATGTCACTTATAGAGCAAGTAGAAAAGAGCAAGAGTCCAGTTGCACCTTAAAGACTAACAAGAGCAAGGTAAGGTATTGGATTTCCTGTACTGTATTTGAATGTGTGTATATTCTACTAGAAAGGGAAACTGTTCAATCAGGTCAGCACAGAACGTTAGAATAGTACCTACAATACGATCACACCAGTTTAAGCAATGCAATTCATCATTTTAAGGCAAAGATGGGCCACGTCTGTTCTTCAGCCTGTGTTAGGGGGCTGGAAAAGGGTTTTGCTGCCCTGACTCCCTCACAAGTGATACCCTTCTGGAATTGCTGCCATTTGGCAGTAAAAGCCCTTAGGAATACTTGGGGCATTTTGTTGTTGTTCAGTCGCACAGTCGAGTCCGACTCTTCGTGACCCCATGGACCAGCTCCCGCCAGGCCCTCCGGTCCTCCGCCGCCCTCCAAAGCCTGCTCAATTTCATGCTCGTTGCATCTATGACACTGTCCAACCATCTCATCCTTTGCCGTCCCCGTCTTCTTTGACCTTCTTTGACATTTACAAACATTCAAAAAGAGAAAGGTGTCAGGGACCTGAGAAACCCCCAGGCTCTCGGAGTCCGAGGGATGCCACAGACCCACCTTCAGTGCCCATGCACCAAAGCCAGGGGCGGGGAAATGAGGAGCTGAGTCACTGCTGGGATGTGGGGGCAACAGCAGCTTCCCAGAGGAATTGCTCAGGTCCCAGGGGAGGCCTGGAGGGGTGGATCCTCCAAAGGGGCCGGCCCTGAACAAGAAAGGCCATTTATAAGGCAAAAGGAAATAGGTTGGTGGTGGTGGGGGACGACAACACATTGGCTCTTGCTTCTCAGGTTGAAAAGAGCGGGGTCAGGAGAGAGGAGAAGAACCCAGGTGATAGAAACCTCCTTCCCTTTCAGTCTGTGGGAGAGTACATCAGTGCCCCCTGCTGGCAAGGATCTGCCAGATCAACAGGTATTAGTGGTGTGGAGTATCTCTATTAATTTGTTGGTTGGATTCAGCTTCTAGGCCACCCTGTTTACCCAGTCCATATGGTGTATGCATGGGACAAACACACTCATATCATCACAAAATGGCCTTTGTTTTTTTACATTTTTATTAAAGATCTATTTTAAAAAGCCCCCGAATCCGATTTAGATCCCCGAGCGAAGTAGACCATCGTTGTAACCTACAGCTTGATATTCTGCATGTCCATTTGGAAGTAAACGTCACTGGGTTTAAGGGGTATTACTTTCCAAACAGGAGCTTACCAGGAGCTTGCACATCCACTGGTTCCCCTTGAAGAGCTCCCTCTGCTCCCCACTCATTTCCTAACGGACGGTCCCTGTGTGACTCTTGTTAGGCGGCTGGAAGGGAGGATGCCTCCGGCCAAGTCACCTACCCACTTGCCCCTCACTCCCCTGACTAACAGGTGATTGGTGCTTCCAGAGCTGGTCATCTACTAGATGTTGTTGATGTGACCCTGGTGCACCACCAGCATCTTTTTATACTGGCGACGGGAGACTTGCAAATGGAAACCTTTGAGTCCAGCGGCACCTTTAAGACCAACAGAGTTTTATTCTGGGTATAAGCTTTTGTGTGCAGGCACACAGAATAAAACTTTGTTGGCTCCAAGGTGCCACTGGACTTAAACTTTGCTCTGCTGCTTCGGACCAACACGGCTGCCCCACCCGAATCTATCTAAATGGAAACCTGGTTCCTTTGTAACTTCTTTCTGTGTATTTGGCACGTACCCCATCTAAGTGGAAAATGGAGGTGTATGCTCAACATGGGACTTTAAAAAAGATAGTGTGGCTCAAACAACCATTGAGTTTTCCAGCAGCTGACGTTCACTTGTTTCCTTCTTTTTATGAATACAGCAGGTGAGCGTTAGGCTGTGTCGCTTCCACCTGTATTTCTTTTCTTTAATTACTTTTTAATTATTTTCTCTTTAAAAAACAGGTGGGATACAGAAGGGAAGAAGGGGTAGGGGGGAAATATAGATTCAAATTTCTTTTCTTTTTTTTTGTAATCGGTATTTTTAAAAGCAGCCCTTTGGCTTACAGGCACAGGGGTTCCCCCGCCCCTGAGCTGAAGTCTGTGTAAAATGTCAACCTCAGTTCTGCTCTTAATGAAACTGCGGATCTTCATCAGCTGCAGCACTTCCCGTACCTCACCATGGCAAGAGTGCAACTGATACACAAGAAGCTCACCAACAATCTTCCCAGAGCAAACTACATGATTCTGTGCAAGGACTGCCGAGCCTGATCTTTTGAACCCTTTGCGTTTCCTGACCCCCTTGCTTCAGCGCACACCACTAAAAGGCTGGTGAGAGAACCCCCATCAGTAGGGTCGCCAACCTCCAGGTGGTCACTGGAGATCTCTTGCCACTCATCTCCATGCGACAAGAGATCAGTTTGCCTGGAGAAAACGGCTGCTGTAGAAGGCGGACTCTATGGCACTACACCCGACTGAAGTCCCTCCCCCTCCCCAAACCCCGCCCTTCCCAGGCTCCACCCCCAAAATCTCCAGGCATTTCCCGACCTGGATCTGCCAACCCTAGTCATCAGGCACAACACACTATCTGGAAATAACAGACAAGGTAGGAGGTCCATGGTTATTGTGCCTGGGAGTCGTCTCTGTTGTAGCCTCTCTTCTTCCAGGTGGGCCTGGACAACAGAAAAAGGCTCGCCTCCACTGGCGTCTGAAGTGGACTGCATTATATAAAACAGGGTTAACCACTGAATTGGCAAATGTGAAGGCCATGATCCAGAAGAAAACAGAAGGCAAAATGCCCACATCGGGTTGAAATCTGTGTACCAAAATGAGGAGAATGGTGATGATTATTGGGCTCCACATGATGAAGAAAGAGATCATCAGCACAAAGAGAGTCCGCAACAGTCTGAAGTCTTGTCGGGAAACTTGGATGTGGTTTTTCTTTGAATAGGCCATGCTGGCATTTAGACGTCTCCTCGATTCTTTCGTAATCTGCATGAGAATATAAAGTCAACTTTTCAGACAGAATTAAAAAGGCGTTTACTTTGAGGGTTAACCCAGGTCACTGAACAATAGCGTCACTGATTTCGCACAATATTTCAATAAAGGAGTGGTGTTTTCTAGCTTATCTACAAGTCTACCCTCCAATGCACACAGACACACACACTCTGGTCTGTTGTCTGTTTCACTTGACGTGAGACTGAAATTATTGTTTCTTTCTGATATCCAAAAAACTAAAGGATTTAGCTCATTATCACTGCAGCCAGAGTAACTATGTGGAGTTAACAGATAATATGCATACTGCAACACAACTAAGATGTAAGTCACTGCATGTTAGTTGCACTCGACAACACTTTAATCAGCAAGATGACTACCTGACACTCAAGATTTGTTCTTATTAAATATGGAAGACGAGATGTTCTACAGATAATGCAATATCTCTCACATTATAAAGTGTTGCAACAGATGCAGTGGGTAACAATCTATGGCCCATTTGACCCAGGACTGTCACCCTGGTAGCTAGCACTCTGTTTTAAAGTAGCCCATCCTTTAAGATGCACACCCAGTCTATGGAGAAACACATCCAAGCCACTGATAGCCCTGGGTATTCCTGTCTTCCATAAACCAAGAAGTAATGATAAAACCACATTCTAATGCCATTCTCAGAGTGATCACCTCATTTTGAAATAAAAAATGATGGTGAATGAAAATTTTCAGAGGAGAACTACGAGGATCGGGAAAACATTCATAACAGCTTGAGGAAACTGTTTGACAGAGAAGATGTTTCAGTGGAAAATATTTTGACAGTTTGACACTCATAGTGAACACACAAAGCTGCCTTATGATAGCCCTGTTCCCCTGTTACAATGAACAGATGTACATCCACATGTATGTGTGTACATGTTTCTAAGAAAAAGCCAATGTGCATTCACTTTACAAATGAAACCAGTCACCAGTACTGGCATAAATGTGGGATTTAAAACACATGTTGAGCTGTACAAGCATTAAATGTAAAATGCGGATTACTCAACTGAGGCAGACTATTGGACTATCAAGGGTAGCATTGTCTACTCAGTCTGGCACTGGACATCCAGGGTCTCAAGGAGCAATTTTTCACATTTCCTGATCCTCGTCACTGGAGATAGTCATGGACTGAACTAGGGACCTTCTGTATGCAAACAGATGCTGTACCATTGAGACACAGCCCCTCCCCAGGTTTTCAATTACTAGAAACAATGTCAGATGGATTTGTGACCATTCACCACAATCACAATATATAGAATGAGGAATAATGAGTTTAAATCTGAGCACATTGATACCAAACTTATAAGAAGAGTTCAGTAATAAAAAGAGCTAGTTAAGGAGGTTGGTTTGGACCAGGCTCAGTAGTAGAAAGGCACTGTTGTGCAGTCAAGAACTCCCAGTGCAACTAAGAACTTCCTGTTTTACCTTAATTTCATTCGCTGGGGGTTTTTTGGCTGTCAAATCACAGCTGACTTATGGTGACCATGTGGGGTTTTCAGGGCAAGAAACATTCAAAGGTGGTTTGCCATTGCCTGCCTCCATGTCACAGCCCTGGTATTCCTTGGAGGCCTCCCATCCAAATATTAGGTAAAGGTTCCCTTGCTCGAAAGCCAGTCGAATCCGACTCTAGGGTTGCGGTGCTCATCTCCGTTTCAAAGCCGAAGAGCCAGCGCTGTCCGAAGACGTTTCCGTGGTCATGTGGCTGGCATGACTAAACACCGAGGCACACGGAACGCTGTTACCTTCCCACCGAAGTGGTACCTATTTATCTACTTGCAATTTCTTGCTTTCGGACTGCTAGGTTGGCAGGAGCTGGAACTAGAGACGGGAGCTCACTCCGTCATGTGGCACACTCGGGTCTCGAACTGCTGAACTACCGACCTTCCAGAGCCTGCAGTTCAGCGTCTTAACCACTTGAGCCATCCAAATATTAGCCAGGTCCAAATCTGCTTAGCTTCCGAGATCTGATGAGACTGGGTAGCCCGGGCTATCCAGGTCAGCACCATCCTATGACAGCAGATGCTAAAGACAAAAGGAAGTACTACTTCACAGAAGAGGTGGTTGAGTTGTGAAACTCAGTCTCACAGTACATGGTTATGGCTGCTGGCTTAAATGGACTTAAAAGGTCATTGGACCAATTTAGGGAGGATAGTTCTATTGCAGCATATAAGCCATGATAGCTGAATAAGAGTTCCAGGCTGAGAGAGCAGAAGGTCTCTTGTTTGTCACGTGCTGGACAGCAGTCAGATACTGCTTTCAGAGAGATTCCTTATCGCGTATGACTGCACACTGTTTGGATTAAGAGGTTGGACAATTGGTCTGATCTAGCATGGCTACTCTTACGTTATATGGAACTGTAATAAAATCACAACGTCTGATGGGTGGGAGTGCAAGCTCAGTAAACAAATCTGTAAATTACTCAGGAAGTAATAGTTTCTCACTGAAACTGCACTGGCACAGGACACATTGTTTATTTACCTGTCTATCTAGAGGTCAAGAAGGTTTTACAGGTTGAACACACAAAGCTGCAACAGACCGTTCATCCCCCTAGCCCAGTAATGTCTACTCTGAAGTTCACCAAGATCCTTCCCAGCTCCCTTTCGTCATATGGAGATGCCAGGAACTGAACCAGGGGCCTTTCACTTGTGAAGTGTATGTTCTACCATTAAGCTGGGACCTCTTCATTCCCATGAAAAGCAAAACCTGTTTTATCTGCAATCTGCAATCCATGTCTCTCATACCACCCATTTATACTTGTGACACATCCTCACTTTCAATTCAAGGCATTTTTATCCTAAGTTTAAAGTGCCTTTGAGGTTCTCTCTCTATTTGCATGCATATTCCTCATACGGGAGATGAGACACAATTCAGAAAAGTCATTCTAAGTTTTATGGTGCAATCCCAAGGGAATGACTCTGCTTTTGACTGCACTAAATACTAAAAGGTCCAGGCTTAGGTTATCCAGGGGAATACGTTCTCCTGCACTGATCTCAGAAAAGACTCTGTTCTGAATAACTTTCCTATAGGAAGCAGATCAAGATGGGCAGCCATGTTAGTCTGCCTGTGGCTGTAGAAAAGAGCAAGAGTCCAGTAGCACCTTAAAGACTAACCAAATTTGTGGCAGGGTATGAGGCACTACTCACAAAAGTGCCTACCCTGCCACACATTTGGTTAGTCTTTAAGGTGCTACTGGACTCTTGCTCTTTCCTATAGGAAATCTGATTGGGAAGGAAAAGAAGCCGCTGAGCTGTCTCAGCAATGGCAACCTCTTCCACCTGAGACAAGCCCACCAGACTAGTCCCTTCCCTATCTTCCAAAACCCTGGCTAGCCCGATCTCATCAGATCTCGGAAGCTAAACAGGGTTGGTCCTGGCTAGTATTTGGATGGGCGACCTCCAAGGAATACCAGGGTTGTGACGCAGAGGCAGGCAACGGCAAACCACCCCTGAAATGTCTCTTGCCTTAAAAAGAAGTCTAGCTCGCTACCTAGTGGTGCACAATGCTAAAAGAGCTGGGCTGCCAGACAATCTTTGGATCTCCTGGCTATACTACACACACTGACATACGGTAATTATTATTAATTATCCTCCAAAAGCCAATAAAGAAATTTATACTCCAGCATGCATTTATAGGGCAAGGTTGACTACAGCTTTGCTGTGTGTCACTTCCTAATAATAACTGGAGCTTATTACGGTATCATAATTGCATCTTTGTAAAGTGTATTATTGCTTCCAGTGCTTATCTGATTTTAATAGCAGACCATCACACATACCCGTGTTGTGACGAAGGCCACCCCTTCCCCACTGCACCATTTTTCCAACCACAGAAGAGTCCCATGGAGTGCTGATATGCTTCGACCATAAGGCAAACAGCAGCTCAGGATGATGGCCAAGGTCAGGCAAATGATGGAGAAGGGAAAGGATTAAAATTCACCCGTGTCACAGCTTCAATCTAAATCGGGGTTTCTGAGACTGCTATTTATCCTTTAAGAAAAACACAGGAGATCCATTCGCATCAGATCCCCCAGCATTGTGAAGAAGAAGAGATTGGATTTATACCCCGCCCTTCACTACCCAAAGGTGTCTCAGAGAGGCTTACAAACTCCTTTCCCCTCCCCTCCCCATAACAGACACCCTGTGAGGTAGGTGGGGCTGAGAGAACTCTGACAGAAACTGTTCTTTTTCAAGAACAGCTCTTATCAGAACTACGGCTTGCCCAAGGTCATCCAGCCAGGTGCAAGTGGAGGAGTGGGGAATCAAACCCGATTCTCCCAGATTAGAGTCCGCGCACTTAACCGCTACACCAAACTGGCTCTCAGTTTGTGCGGTTTGAGGATGCCGTTTGGAGGATGAAGGTAACAAACTTAATCAGTATAGAAAATGACAGCAAATGATTATCTGTGAAATTATCAAGGACAGGAAAAGGTGTGTTCCCTTATTGTACTATGCACTTTCTTCCCCTTGAGTAAATAACTGATTGATCCATTATCTAGTTATGCAACTAAGAATCCATCTGCCATTGCTCTTGATTGAATTATAATTGCTGGTCCATTTGTTAGTATAAGAAATCCAGATAGTAAAATACCTGTAAAATCTTTGAGTAACTGATTACGATTACCAGTCCTGGTATCAGGAAGACTACAACAACAAAAGAGACATCCCAAGCAATTTCTCCCGCAGTGCTGGGCCACATCAGGGTACAAATGCGCACCTCCTGTAATTAAAGCACAAAAGTTCCATAAATGTTTTGACTGGGCTATTTGCTTTCCTCATAAAAATTCTGAGACATCCACTGAGACATCCAACAGATCATCACTACTCAAACAAAAACTAGGGAAATAATGAATAATCAGCATACATTTGTAACTGTAACGAAGAGCATGTTCAAATAAAGGTGCATAAACCCTCAGGATCTTGAAAGTAAAAATAGAATAACTGTGGCAATATCATTAAGAAGCTAAACAAATATGAGAGGCAATTACTGTGTCTAACCTCATACTATCTGCATCAAATCTGACGTCCTTAGGCTAACAGCTGCAAGGTACTAAAAAATGGGGAAGCTGTGCCTATCAATTGCTGATTAATATGTTCTCCGGTTGCATCCTGTGATGGTCCACATGATAACTATGCACTTGTACATATATATCTGTGTCTTGTACAATGCACAGGCACAACAGAATTTGTTTATTCTACATAAATGATAACAATCTGTGTTTAACGAATGGTCTATTTTGTTGTCTGGTGGCATAAAGGCTGCTAACCAAATCAATAGTAAACCAAGCTTTTGTCACAGACAGTGAGAGTTGCCAAAAAAAAAAAAAAAACCTGAAAGGAAAATAAAAAGAGACATTATTTGCCCTACACTGCATATAAACCCTAGGCTTAAATAACATGCTAAAGCAAGAATCCATCCTAAGGTTTAAGACAGAATGTAAAAGTTGATTCAGCTCCAGCATCTTTTGCTGATGGACTATGTGAATTTAGGAAGACATTAACATTACAATAATCTAGTCCTGGCTTCTGTTCTTCTTGATGATTGTTATATGATCTGTTTACTAGTACGGAAAAGGAAAGTCCTGAATTGTGAATCTGGAAAAATTACTAATGTTGAATTCCAACGTTAATTGTCACTATAATGTTACGTAAAATCTTGAGATGGCTTTGAGTAACTACTGAAAATAAACACAGTGACAGTATAAACCGGAAATGAATTACAGCCTCCAAACAGCTATATTTTATTTATTTATTATTAAATTTATATTCCACCCTCCCCACAAGGGCTCAGGGTGGCTTACAGATAGGGCACTTTGTGCCAATAAAATCAGAATGAAACACAATAAAACACAATAAAACAAGATCATTAACAAGTGCTCTAAGATGTTACACTAATACAAAAAGATGGTATTAGGCTGATGATGTTCAGATGATATTGTCTATATCCCAGAACAACTGTACTGGTCCTCCGCGCCGCTGCAGTATGATCTTCCAGGGCTGTTTCGTTCCCTGTTGTTTAAGGGATCGTTGGCGGAAGTGGCAGTGGCGGCTCCTAAACGAAAGCCTGGCGGAAGAGCTCTATCTTGCAGGCCCTGCGGAACTGTGCCAAGTCCTGCAGGGCCCTGATCTCCTCCAGTAGCTCATTCCACCAGGTAGGAGCCACCACTGAATAGGCCCTGGCCCTGGTTGCCACAAGCCAGGCCTCCCTGGGGCCTGCGGTCACCAGGCGGTATTGTGCCCCGGCCCGAAGTGCTCTTTCAGGTATGTACGGGGAAAGGCGGTCCCTTAGGTATGTTGGACCCTAGCCATTTAGGGCTTTAAAGGTAAGAACCAGCACTTTGAAGCAAATCTGGAACGCTATTGGCAGCCAGTGCAGTGCTTTCAACACAGGCCAGATGTGCTCTCCACGAGGGATGCCTATCAACAGCCTGGCAGCAGCATTCTGCACCAGCTGCAGCTTCAGGATTTGCGACAAAGGCAGCCCCATGTAGAGGACGCTACAGTAGTCTAATCTCGAGGTGACCGTTGCGTGGATCACCGTGGCCAGGTGATCGCGGTCAAGGAAGGGAACCAACTGCTGAATCAGCCTAAGATGGTAAAAGGCTGACCTGGCAGTGGCTGCCACCTGGGCCTCCATAGTTAAGGAGGGATCCAG